ACTGAGTTGCACGTCACTCGGAGTATGATGCTTCTATTTCTGATAATTGTAGTATTTTTTATGTTATAATCTTATATAGTATATTATTATTGTCAATCTTGTTTTAATATACATTTTGATTTTTTATTTTGGGAACCAGTAAAATAAATCGGCACCTTTTACATTCCTGGCGTTTGGAAGGACATCGTTGGTCATCAGTTTGGAAAAGCAGGAGGCCAACAGATGCTTCTCAGACCTGCAGAGAAGACGTTGTGTTTTTATTTTTTTATAAAGTTCTCACCTTTGCTAATAATTCATCATGTCTTCTTTGTTTCTGCACAAATAAAAAGCAGGACAAAAGTGTTTCCTGGTTCAGTTTTATGCATTTCGGTCAGAACGTCCACTTTCGATTCTCTTTCTAAACCCAGTTGGATCATAACTAAATGTAAGTTATTATTCAACAGGGCTGTGCTGAAGTATTTACACTGCTTGAACTTTTGATCACAGTAACAATGTGATTCAGATCACATTCAGATGAATGCAAAATTCATATGGTGGAATATTAAAACTGCACATTCCCAGTTGTAACACACGGCGGTGGCAGCATCATGCTGTGAGGATGCTATTTCTAAGCAGGTTTCTTGTAAAAATTATTTTCTTTTCTCTTCACAATATGACACTTTGGTTGAAGCTGAATGTTTTTACACAATATCTTCTGGAGGAGATGTTTTCCTTACACCAAATCTTCCCTGTAGATGTAGTAGGCCACTGTCACTAGACCCATGAGAAACTCATGGAGCGGCATGAATGTGAAAGGCGAGAAGGTCTTTTCTTCTGAAACACAGAAGGAAGACAACAGAACAAGCTTCCTAAACATCTGCAGCAGCTACAGTAACCCGTCCTGGATGGTGGACGGTACAAACCAGACTCCTTCACCTCTGATTAAAGGGTCTATCTGTGTCAGCGTCACGCCGTGACGGTGGACGTTGCAGTCCTTGAGCAGGCGCCAGAACTGCAGGTGGGACAGCAGGAAGATGTTGTCGGGAGGACTGGAGCGACCGAGTCTGCTGTAGAAACCAAAGATGAGCCTCAGCTCCACGTGTTGGCTCATCACCACAGATTCCACCTGACAGCACAGACGCAGCGTGAGGCGGGGAACAGCAGCGGAACGGGGTCATAACGGCAGAGGAGCTGACCTGCATGCGCTCAGTCTCACGGTCTCTCTGTGGGATCTTATTCAGGAGAAGTTGGATGTTGAAAGCCATGTCAGATCCTAGTATCTTGGAGTCGTTGTCTGACAGCGGAAGGACGCCTGCAAAGGCGACTGTAAAACCGTGAAAATTGTGAAATGTATTTTGAATGTTCGTTCAAATCAGGTATTTCTTTACCGAGGGGCGGTGGAGCTCTGTCTTCACTCAAGCTGGCTAAGATCAGATCGTCATCAAACTCGCATTCAAATACACGGCCACTCCTCGCAGTGAGAATGCCCTGAAATCCGAGGGACACACACATCTTAGAACGCTTCAAATATTACAGAAGCAAAATGATTAAAACTATTCCTGGCAGATTTGAGTAGCTTCACCTGTAGCTGCCAACAAGATAACTTCTTCTAGCATACCTCAACAAATGTATTGACAGCTCTGGTAAAGATGGATTAGTAAAGTCACCAGTGCATCCTCCTCAAAATGATATTTTTATACACATAGCTACTGACCAACCCAACCTAAAAGTAAAGCTTTCGTTTTAAAGACATTGTTTGTCCGTTGACAACAAATACTAAATACAAAATATGGAAGTGTGAGATTATATTACTCCAGTAAAACCTGTAAACGTGCTTACCAGGGTACTAACACATTTATCCGAGTCTGCATCTGATTTATAATCCAGATTTCAGTTCATTTTTAAAGCTTCTATATTTCTCAGATGAACACTAACCTGTCCGTGTTTTTTATTGTTCCTCCATTCTCCTGTGTAGATCGCACCGCCAGCGTAATAAAAGATTCCTTTTCCGTGACGCTGACCTTCAAAGAACTCCCCCCTGTACTGGTTGCTCTGGACATACTGGGATCCATCAATGCGCCTCAGAAACCAGGTGTGTGTTCCCAAACCATGCTGGAAGATTAAACATATGTAGATTCCAATCCAGTTGGTAATAAACATTAAAATATGGCATTGTTGCAAAATGACTAAAGTGTCCCGGCAGGTTCTTTCCAGGTCAGCGGTTAGAGGGTTAATTAAATAATAATAATTCTGTATCTACATATGTGTTCAGTTCACACAATGTAACTTTCATACCTGCACTCCATCTTTCCAGCTCCCAACATACTGCTGTCCCAGTTTGGTCCAGTTCATAGTTCCCTCTCCATGCCTCAGATTGTTCTTCCACTCACCAGTGTACGTGTTTCCAGATGGGTAACTGTTAAAACACACTTAATATTATCTCACCAATATTAACAACAAGCTAGGAACCAAGCAAGGACACGCTTACCCCCTCTGTCCCCATCCTTCTCTCTTGTTCACCACCCAGTCCCCATCATACCAGGAGGTCTGGTCCTCATCATAATACACTTTACCCTAAATAAACAGAGTTCAGGTCAAAAGCTGACATCCATCCATCATGGGGATAAGTGTCACATTAATGTTAAATTTATCAAAGTATGAATACAAAGTATGAATTATAAAAGGACCAGATGCATGGTTTAAATTTACCGAGGATGTTCCATGATCACATGGTCAAGCAGTCCAGCAGTAAAATTATCCCCAAAACATTTTTCGGATTGGATGAAGCGGGTTAATATTGAGCTGTAAATTTGAGGTCTACATTTAAAAGTCTGGTCTAGGTGACTAAATTAAATGAGCTTTACAAAATCTGTGAAGAAGAGCAACCAACTATTCAACCATGACCATGTCAGCAGGTTGTTGGTGGCTACAAAAGTCTGTCATATCTCTGTGAACTGCTAAGGAAGATTTATCCAAACATCAGTGGGGTGTATGTATAATATGCCTGTGCACATTCAGTAATTTTGACATTCTGTGAGGAGAAAAAGAAATTATATTTAAAAATAGGAGGAAGAGTAAGATGAGTAAATCCTACCTTTCCATGCCTCTTGCCGTGATCCCACTGCCCACTGTAAGACATACCGGTTCTGGGACATTTGTAGGTTCCCATTCCATGTCTTATACCTCTGCTGATGTCCCCTGTATAGGTGCTACCATCCAGCCATGTGAAAGTTCCCTGGCCCGTCGGCAAGTTGCACACAAAGTCTCCCTGCCAACATTGAACATTTTAACTCACTTTGTCATTTTTGTTGAGGAGATACAATGATTAAATCCACGTGTTTAGGCAGTGATTAAATGCATCACTTAGGGAACCTACCTCATATTTCACACCATTTGCCTGTGTGAAGGTACCAGATCCCTCCATGAGTCCTTTGGAGAAAATTCCCTTCACAAAACAATTTACATAACCGGTTACTCAAATTAAATGAAAATTCTTTTGTGTAACATGGAGGCAAATCTAAATATCCAACTTTTTGTGTGTCAGTCGATGCACCTTGTACTCATGTCCTCCGTGAAAAGAAGCAACACCTTCTCCATGGATCTGTCCTTCGCTGGTTTCTCCTTCGTATCTGTCGATGTTGACAAAATTACACACTCTATTTAGCAGAGCTAGTCCAATGCACAAGCGAATTATGATGTTGCTTAGGGCCCCCAAACATTCAGGGGCCTCCCATAAATGGATGAATTTCAAGAGACCATAAAGGTGCAGATTTGTAGATTTAGTTAGAATGAGATTATTATTACATTTGCAAAAGTATATTTTCAGCACAGATCAACAAAAAGTTTTTAAACTGCTTAGAATTTTTATTTAAGATGTAAAGGAATTGGCAAGTTTACTACAAAGAATAACTTCCCATCGTTTTGTAAATGTAGTTACAATCTGTTGCTGTTATTAATCTTTTCTTTGTGTTTTGAGTTCGGTTAAACAGAAATACATCTAAACAAGTGATATCAAATAATCTGTAATTGATGTTAAGATCAATCAGTTCAACTTGCCTTCCCCACACCTTCTGCGTCCCAGATTCCACCAGAAAGAGGGGCCCCAAATTTAAATCTTAAGGCCCGATACAACCTGGGGCCTCCACTGCCATTTTATCAAATCCAATTGAAAAAGTGAACCTTACTACATTTAAAGGTTTGTCAGCAATTATAATTTGAGAACATTTTTAAACATTTTATTAAATGTAAATAACTATTTAAGCTACCTTTGTATTTCCAGGCAAATTATATCAGGGAGTTCATAAACGTCTTCAGTTTGGGTTCGGTCATCACTCTCTGAGTCCCGCAGCAGAATATTAGCTACTCTTTCTGATAAATTTAACAAGCTTTCATCTAAGTTTACACCGCCACTTTCGTTGTTTTTAATTTCTTCTTCTATACATATTTCTTCGTCGCACTGTTCAGCATTTAAAACCTCCATGGCTACGTTTATTCCCTCAAATGTCCTTCCTTTTGTTTCTCACGCGACCTGAAACATCTCTATGGTAACGGTCGAGAAAGCTTCTAACTACGGCAGCCTAAGTCAGTCAAAAAGTGCAAAACTAACGAAAGCTAAATTAAAGAAGTTCTTCCTTTTTAAAAACCTTTTTAAGCTGTTCATTTTAAATTGTACATATAATCAAGCATAAACAGAAACGTTTTACATTTAAATATAAGACGTTCACTTCACGCCAATTACATCAATATATAACAGCATATCAGGTTAGTTTTTGCCCTTTAACTTGAAATACATTTTAAGAAAAAAAAATACCACTTTACTTTTGCTGACCAAAACACATACATTAAAAAGAACAAAGCTTCTATAAGTAAACATTTATGTTTATCTTTACATTAATTAACTTCCAATTAATCTAAATTTCACCAAAGCCTGCATTTACCTTTTAATTGAGAAGAGTGAAGAAATGCTCGACCTAGCTTTGAATACAATTCAGGAATCTTTAAATGACACATTATAATCAATATCCCAGTTGAACCCACTGTTTATTCAGAATTACCGCTTTACAGCCAAGAATTGTAATAATAAATGATCTGTTACCTCAGTTCAACAAGAATAAGAAGCATGTGTTTGTGCATTGTTTATTGGATATAACAATAAAAAAAATAATATAATCTATTTAATATATATAAAAAAATCAAACTAAATGAAAACTAGCATTAAAAAAAGAAGCACACGCTAGTAATTGAACCAATCTAAAAATCACAAGGTAAATCATTTACAGAAGTGTCAGACAGAACATTTACACACAGTCTGGTCTGTATAAAGTGAAAATATCAGAAGGTGTTTCATGTATTTCTGGGCTCAGCCCTGTGAGATGATTTCGAGGTTGGCGAGGTGTCGCATGGTGGGCCTGCCATGAGGACAGTTCCATGGATGCTCGATCTCTCCCATGTGAATCACCAGCTTCTTCATCTCACTGACACTCAGGGCTGTACCGATCATCACCTGGAGGCGGATACCAGCAGAAACAAACAATCAGGGTTTTGAGAAAATACTGCGACATGAAACAACATCTATAAAAACTTTTTCAACTGTCTACATGTTGTTAGACAACTCAACAAAATGATGGTCTGACAAAGGGATTTTACAGTTCAGATTATTTTTAACTTATTAGCAATCTATATTTCTTTCTACTGCCTAACACAGTTACATCTACACTAGATTTCCTGAATTATTTGCCTGTCTGCTTTAACACACACTGATTTGAGTGTTTCCCCATTCTTAGCCTATAGGATTGAACATTCTGATGGTCCATCTATTGCACCTATGTCATTCTTCCAGATGCACATTTGTGAGGTCAGACATTGATGTTGGACAAACTGCCCTGTCTTACAATCTCAGATATTATTTCTTCCAAAGGTGTTCAAGTCGGGTTGAGGTCAGGACTCTGAACTCTGGCTGGTCAAACTCTCTAATAAAAAATAAATAAAATTGATTATTATTATCATTATTATTATTAATCCATGTCTGTTGCAGTAATTTCTGCAATACTTTGAATACTTTGTTGGAGGGCCATTTCCACAGCATGAAAAAGTCCTAAATGTCTCTGCATGCTGATTCTTTGAGAATTCCTGCGCCTGGACCAAAGAGGCCAAATTCTCTCAAGCAGACCCAAACCATCATCACTTCTGGACTGAACCTTAAACTTTGACTAATTGTAGCCAGGCGGAAGCTGCTCTCCTGGAAATGACAGACCAGACAGAGTAGAATGATGACTCATCATTCTAGGGAACATATCAGCACTACTCTAGAGCCCAGGAGTAGTCTGCTTCACATCACTGTATCCAGAACTCTGCATTCTAACTAGCAATGTAAGGTTTGGATACAGAAACCCATAAAACCCATTCCATGAAGCTCTCTGCACAATGTTCTTCAGCCAGTCTAGAGCTAATGTAAAGTTTGGTGGTTGATGTTGTAGACGTGTTGCCATGGAAGTGATGAGTGAACAAATGAACTCATTGATTGACAGTCATTTTTGATCAATTTCAGTCTCATAATTATGACTGAAGCAATTAGTTGAATTAATCCTGATGAACAATTGTTCAAATAATCGTCAACTAATTTAGTAATCGATTAATTGATAATTAGAGTAAAAAGACTCAAAAAAGACCATTTGCTGACAGAACAATACAGTCAGAGCAATAATTAAGCCAAAACTGAACAAAATATACAAATATTTTCCATATAAGATAAAAATAAGCCTTATTTTGTATTTAAATATGCTCTAATTTCAGCTTTACATGGTTTAAATTCTGTAAAAAAAAATTCAAATAAACTGATAATCACATTTTGTGATCCAATTATAAATCAGTTAATTGAAAAAGAAAAACAGATCAGCCCAACAGTGTATTAATGTTCAGTCCAACAGAAAGGCCGAGCTTTTCACATGTTGATGTTAGAAGGATTTCTTTAGCTGCAGCTCTTTTGCTACAAATAATCAAGAGTTTACTAAAGAAATGCTGTTCTTGAATTTTAGGCAATAAGATGTTTATGTTGTTATTATAAAAAAATAACAGAATTATTAATGTATTTGCATCTTATTATGTATTTTTAATATTGTATAAAAAAAGACTTAAGTGGTCAAATGAATGTGCCAATTTGTTTACCCGATTGTTAGCATAATCAGAATAATTAATTACTAAAATAATCGTTAGTCACAGCCTTACTAATAACAATAGCACTTGAATATCTGTCACAGAAAAACATTGACACTTTTACTTTCATTATTTATCTCTATTAGTGTTGCATATGAAATGTAACTGTGTGAGGAATCTACTGGCTTTTATCAAACAAGGAACTGATAAAATAAATTGTAAGTTGTGTGTGTGTGCGCGCATGTGTGTGTGTGTGTCAAAAGTGAGCTAAACTCAACTGATTTGCGACACGCTCTAGAAGCGAACATCTGCCTGACTCTAGACGGGCGGCACATGACGCCCGGACTGTCACTCAGCATGAAGATCAGCTCTTCGATGTCGGCCGGCCCGAAGGTCCAGTTCCTACTGGTGGGCAAGGAGACCAGCTTCACTCGCTCCATCACCTGGGCTGAAGGAATCACTTCACAGTGAGAACATGAAGGAACAGTTCTTCCTGCCTGAAGAAGTCTGATAACAGTCCTACCGTCTTCATCGATCAAGAACTCAAAGCCGTTCTTCTGGAAGATCTCGACGTTCTCTAAGAGCACGTTCTCACTGACTGCAGTCAGGTGGAGTTTCTGTGGGCTGGAGCCAGGAGACACAAGATGGATTAAAGTCTCTGGACACAAAACCAAGTAGACTGCAGTATGCCAGCAGCTTACACAATGAGCCTCTGTCCTTGGAGCACAGTGTGCTGCTGCAGCATCTCAAAGTTGTATTTCTCATCGGTGGCGTGTTGGTCAATCATAAAGATGTCTGAGTTCAGCTTGGTGATGATGAAGCCCAGGTTAAACTGACCGATGATCTCCATTTCCTTAAACATGTCCTTACTACAAAAAAGTAGAAAAAAAACAAAAAAACATTTGTACTCTAACACAAATTGCACAGAACCCCTACTAAGAAAAGCCAGACATGTTGATTACAGCTGAACGTTTCCACAGTTGTCAGGTTATGACCCCACACCTTTTATTGCTTAGTGGAATTTTATGAGATAGATCAACACAAAGTACTAATATTTGTGAAGCAGTAGTAGAGCAATACGTGGTTTTCTATTGGATTTTGGAAATAAAAATATGCTTAATGGTTCTCTAGCTCAGGGAGGTTAGATTATGATATATTTGGGATTTGACTGGGTTGTTCTGACATGAATATTCTCTGATCTAAACCAGAGCTTCTCAAAGTGAGCAGCGTCTTGGTAGCATTAAATTAAAGTTGTAGAAAAAAAAGTATTATTGGAGATGTTAATTTTACTATTTTCTTCACTCTTTATTCCATGACAGAAACAATAAATATCAGTAAAGGGAGAAAATATGAATAAATGCCATTACTGTGTGCAGTCTAGTGATAAAAATCAAATTTTTTTTAAATAACTGGTTTTCAAGCAAATCATTTTACATGGAAATGATTTTCCCAAAATCGGATTTGTGGGACTATATGCAGTCATGACCATACAGTTACCTCAAACAGTAGGAAAAGAAAATTATTTTTAATCCTCATCAATATAGCAACAGAAAACATCACAATAAAAGTCTAAGTCCATATCGCCCAGCCCTGACTGAGCATCATTCAGTCCCACCTGATCTCTCTGCGGAGCTCGTCCTCAGCTCTCTGGTTTTCTCCAGGGCTGATGTTGGCCCTGAAGCGCCTGTAGCACAGCCTGTCTGCGGCTTGCCGTCTCTGCTGCTGCTGCAGTCTCTTCATGCCGGCTGCCAGGGCCTGCAGACAGAAATGCAGAGGCACGGTCCTCCTCTGCAGACAGACGGGGACGTCGGTCGTGGAGGAAGCCGTGTCGGGCGTTCGCTCTGCGGTGAAACATGGATCGTCTCTTCTGGCTCGTTTAGCTTCAGGGATAATGACGGAGTCCTCGACAGGTGAACGTGCTTCGGCCTGCAACTCCGGGTCCTCATGGAGGTTCTGGCTCACCGATGAGTCGTGCGTTACATTTTCAACAACTGGTTTGAAGGAGACTGGATGCTGTGGATCTTGTGATTCTACTGCCAAGCCTCTTTCAGAGTCATTCTCCCTGACTGACACCCTTTCATTCCTGAACCCATGGAGCTCCGCCCACACTCCCAGGCTGCCTTTAGCAGCCTCTCTTCTGGGTTGTACTGGTGATTTAACTGAGCCCTTAAAGAAACACTGCAGCGTTTTCTGGCTTGGCCCGCTTTTGGAAGCTTTTTCTGTGCTTGACTTACTCCCAGAGAGGGCGCTGTTCTGGTTTGAGAAAGCAGCTTTGAGGGCAGCGAGGTTCATGGTTGACTTTGGGCTCGGAGTCCCGGGTTGGTTGGTCTCCGCAGGTTCTGCTTTGTCTTCAACGGGAAGGTGAACTTCTTTAGATGCAGACGATACAGCTAGAGAGAAACAGAAAACAGAAACTTTCAAAATAAGAGGCATAAAATGAAAAAAAGGACATAATAGAAGTATGAAAAGACAAGTTCTCACTCGGTGTATAGTTCAGGCTCATCTTATTTACTCCAGCTTCATACATGTTGATGAGAGAAGACTTTAGGATGGCGAGTAATAGCTTCTCCTCTTGAAGGAAAATCTGTCGTTTGTCAGGCGTTACATTCACATCCACGCAGTCTGGGAACAACAAGCAACCAAAAATGAAAGAAAAGACCCTGCAGGGTTACCACACTTCTTGTTAAGACTCAATCTACACCCTGAAAAAAGGAGAATGTAAAGACAATGGATGGATCTAACTTTTAGAGATCACTAAGAAGACGTATTAGAGCCATTATAGATAGAAAAATAAAAAAGGAGTAAATTTCCATCGTAAAACTCAGACATTTTGAGAATAATATCAGAAATTTTATAGAAAAAACAAGAACATTTCTGAGTTCCAATGGGATGAAAGTCATAAAATTTCCAAAAGTCAAGAATTTTTGGCTGTTGAAACTCAAAGTTTTTTGTAGAAAATTCCTGAGATTAACCTCAAAGTTTCTGACATTTTTGGGAGGAATTTTTTTTCTACCAACAACGGCCCTACCAATACCAACACCAACATTTTTCTTCTATTTAACTACATTTTCATCTCACAGTTTTTTTTTTCATGTGAGGTTGTTAGAAGGTTTTGAACCGTTTGGACTATTATTACAAATAATAATAGTTCTAGCTTAAACTATTATGTACAGGGTGCATTTCATAAACAAATGTATCATTTATAAATAACTTGATTTTAATTAGGAAATATTTTATTCAGAAATGTTTTGTATCTAATTAACTGCTGTTAATGTAAGTGCATTTTTACATTTATATTCAATATTTTGTTTATTTAACTAAATCATTTAATTATTGACCTTATTCAAATCTGAAAAAGTCAAGTCTCTCTTTCCTTGTCAATCACAATGTGATTATATTTAGTGGACAGTTTGCACCAGGCCCATGTTAGCTCAGCTCAGTGTGTCCCAGCCGCTTCATTCATTGTCTTTGTTAAATGTCTGAAGACGACGTTTAATTGAAACTGAATTGAACTGAGCTGGAAATCACTTCAATAAAATGTCATGGTGTTGAACCTTAAATTCAACAGTTCATTTCAGGAATAACGTTTTATTTTGTTAATTTTCTCACCTGAGGCAACAGCTATGTTCAGGGCAACAAATGGATACTGATGTCTGTTGTACATGTGGTACACTTCATTCACAAGTTTACTGACCTACAAGGTAAAAAAAAAAAAAAAAAGAAAAAAAAGTAGTCAGGCAGAAAATACAAACTCAGTTAAAAGCTTTCAACAATAATGACCTTCACTGGGTCACATGGGCGGCTGTTGATGAAGAAGAACTGCCGGTCTGAGGCGCTCCGCCCCACACCGTGGTCCCCGGTGGACACAAAGCCTGAAAGCCTGCACAAAGCATTTGGACTTAAAGCAACAACAAAAGGCATGGTGTCATTTAATAAAAACACGCCACTCACGTAAAAAGCTGTTTGGGTAAGTCTCCGTCTTTAAGTCCATATTCCTCCATGATATTCTCTGACGGAGAAACTTGCCGGAAAGGGAGAAGACTCTGCATCTGCAGGGCACAGAAGGAAAATCAGTGGTGAGGAAAACTGGCTTCGGGAATATCCTGGAGCTGCTGCCTTAAATTAGGGTAAAAGAAGCTAGAACCTGTTTTGGTCCAAATATGGCACCGATGTTGTCTCTCATACTCTGGCTGCCACCGGTGCTGAGGACGGCGCTGCGCTTTCCCTGGCCCGTTTGGTTGGAGCAGGTGATACGGACTCCTGTAGAAACGATGCAGTAGGCCTGCAGGACGTGGATCATTTTAGCAAACTCCTGAAAACACAGCAACGTTTCAGATTAAGGATAAAAACAACTGGGTGGGTATTTACTACATTCAAATAAAAGGAAACGTAACACAATTAAGATCAAAATTGAGACAAAGCTGAGCACATTTCTGACTTCTAACCAGATTGTTTTTTCAAAAGTTATTTAATTATTTAACATGATGACAAGAACAATCTTTAATTAGTGGGTGATTAAAGTATTATCAGTATCTGATGACAAGTTTTTAATCTATTTATACATTTTGGGAATAAGGAATGATGCAACAGGAAACAAAAATTCTGAAACATCCATCCATCCATCCATCCATCCATACATCCATACATCCATACATACATACATAGATGGATCATCCATCAACATTAGAGGACCTGAAGAAGCCTCTAACTGAAGATACCCTGTTGTTGGATGACAGTCTGATCAAGCGGATGCTCAGGGTTGTCCAAAATGTTCTGTGTTTTATGAGGAATCCCTTTGAGCACTGTCATCTCCAGATGCTCCAGAACAGAGTCACACTGATGAGCCTCATCGTTTTGTTCTTTCTTTCATTTGTGTTTTTACCTGAAAGTTTCCTGGAACCTTTTGAAGATTTCTATGAAGCTAGCAATATTTTTGTCAAATAGACCTTCTGTTATACATCACATGTTGTTCTTAGTTCACATTGTGTAATATGATTCAGCAATTAGTTTTCTAATTGATTGTTTTTTTTTCTCAGAGGTTCATCACCAGATTATAACATAAAATCCTTTAAGAAGGGAAGCAACATACTGGATATTCTAAGATCTTTCCACCATGTTGTTGGTCATCAAGCTAACAAATTAACTCTACAACTAGAAGTATTAAAAAAAAAAGAATTAGTGTAAATATGACGAGTTATATACATTCCACCATGGACATTCCAGGATAAACTGTTTCATTGCTGACCTTCTTGATATTCCGCTGGAACTCCTTGTGTCTGACAGGCAGCGTGTAGAAGAGCTGCTGCAGCGTTACCGTGGTGCCCTGCTGCCTGGGACAGGGGGACTGCTGCACAAGGTGACCTTTGTGGTCAAACAACAACTTGGTGCCTATTTGGCTGGACTCATGGCACGTAATCACACTCAGGTCACTGCAACCACAAGTTGAGACAAGGAGTGATTATAATATTACTGTGGGCTTTGTGAACAGAATAAATGTGACTTTACCTGAGAGCACACAAAGAGCTCAGGGCTTCGCCTCGAAAGCCGAATGTTTCCACGTGGATCAGGTCAGAGAAATCCCTCAGCTTTGATGTGTGATGCTTTAGTGCTGTGGAGCAGGCAGAAGAGGAAGGCACAGCATCATGCACACACAGTTCATAGGTTGTTCATCTCAAAATGTCTTACTTTTTCTAATCCAGAATTCAGACTTCAGTTCAAGTACAGTTACAGATCAAACTGACTTTCAGTTTGCTGCAGATAATTCTGTAGAGGTTTGACTTTAAAAATGGATGCATGGATGGATAGACGGATGCAACATTTAGACGATGCATAAGGGAACAAAGTCTGGAAATACTAGGAAATATTTGTCTATATATATCCAAAAATACCTAAATTTCATACATTAACAGATTTTTCTAAATTATTTAGAATTACAAAGACCCCACATACCCAGTCCTTCAAAGTTCGCCTCTTCGACACCTCTGCCATTGTCAGACACTTCTATTTGTTCAGCACCACACTCCTTCAGCTTGACCTCTGGATTAGAAGGGATGGGATGTTAATAAGGACAGACAAGCAGACATGTGCAGTCTAAGTTTCCTAGAAGCATATTAATAACACATCTAATGGTTTAGTAGAAATGTTGAGAATCGGATAAACAAAAAGTAAATCTGTAAAGCTTTTTGTTAAATACACAAAAACATATATTCTAGAGTTTAGACTATAAGGTAGAGCATCTGTTTTGTGTTTCAGAAGTACACTTTGTGCTCTGCTCACCAACATTGGTTGCTCCTGCATCAATGCTGTTCTCCACCAGCTCTTTGACGGCTGTGGCCAGACTCAGGACTACTTGTCCAGAGCAGATCCGATGCACTGAGTGCTTGTCGATGGCCCTTATGGCTCCAGCAGGCTCAGAAGTGCTGAGAAGAAACAAGAACAGTGAGAGCTGCAGCTGGAAAACTTCTCATGCTAAAAACAGACCATAGACACCATAACAGACACCATGGCCTTTTACATGTTGCCATAGACAAAATTAGTAATAAATGAAGTTTTAAACAGTAATAACAATGAGATTAATTCATTTTACTTCAAAATGTCACTCAATTCATACGGATTCATTGGTCTGCATTGGTCTGATGAGACCAAAATTCAACTACGTGCAAAAAAATGTGTGTAAAGGAAAACTAACAGTACACATTAGCCTGAACAGACACAACCCACGGTTACATGTGGTGGAACTGGGAAGCGAGTGTGAAGTTGATGAAATGAAGAATGGAGCTAGATACAGAGCACTGATGAAAGGAAACCTGTTAGATGCTTCAAGAGCCTGGAGAGCAGGGAGAATATTCACCTAACAAGACAAAGAGCCTAAGTACACACCCACTGTTATGGAAAGGTGATCAAAGCATAAACATATATAAGAATGGCCCAGTCAAAACCTAAATCCAATTGGAAGCATCTGATGACAAGTTGGTGCAGATGCTCTCCATTTCATCAAACTGGGCTTGAAGAGAGGGCAGAAATTTCAGTCCACATTTACAGCAAGTAGAGAAATAATTAAAAACATCTGCAGTCCTAATTACAATGAAAACAGGTTCTAATTTGTGATTTGGAGGATGAATACAATTTCACATTTTTCAGGTGTTTCACAACAAGACAAATAAAATTAAAACAACTCATTATTTTCCTGCTACTTTTCAGTTGCCAACCACCAAATATGAAAGAGGTCAAATATGAGAGAGGGTATACCTTTAGAAGGCAGTGCAAGATTTAGATAGCAAAGGCAGTTTCACAGAGTTAAGTCCCCTGGACTTTAGAGCACATTTTGACTTGAAGCACAGAGTGACTACAGCTTCAAGACATAAAAGACTAATAATTCTGAAGGGGAAAAACTAAAATGAGACGGCTAACTTACCAAACATCGGTCATCTTTCCCAGAATTTCCACTGGATCCCTCCTGTCCCTACAGCCTGAACTCAAACGGACCGCTGCATCAGCTGGTTATGTACCATGTAGTTTGTATTTACTTACTCTGGCTTCCCTGCGTGAGAAACACAAAAATGAAGCTCTCCCGCGCCGTTTACGCACAATGTTCGTGAGTATTACTACCGCGCAACACTGCGCAGCTTACTAGTACAAGAAGAAAAAGCATGTAAAGGTTAAGCTCTATAAAGAATACATAAAAAGTGTAATTAGAGCCCAAATATAAAACAAAGAATGCACCTTGTGGTACTTTTATTAAAACAATTTCCCAAACCTCTGTTGAATTTCATCATCGGATGTTAGGGCTCATGGATAATTGTCGTACATCCTAAAAAACGAATACTATTATGTTTAGTAAATAATTTTACCAAATATGCAAATTATTTTAAAATATTTGCTTTTATGATTAGATAGTTACTTGAATGTTGGACGTGTTTCTTGTTTTGGAGAACGATTATTAAGGAACAGGCTGTTTGCTTATTATAGTGCACGCATTTTATGACGGTCCCTTTAAGCCGGCTGCTCCTCAAACATGGCCGACAGTTGACAGGGGACGTAAGGGACTTTTCCCACAGCGTTCATTTCTGACAAGTTCTGTAAAAGTTTTATAAGCGACTCTCTATCCGTAGTTAGCGACTAACATGAGGTTAGCCGTTGAGAATTTGGTAACACTGTAGAAAAATGGTTTAGTTTTATTTTTTTTGTTATTCACGTTTAAAATGTACAGTTCGACGCCGGACAACGGTCTGATGCGCTCTGAGGAATGTTCTGGCAGCGCTAGCAACCTGTTGGTCCACCGGAACCTCAGATCTGTCCGGAGACAGCAGGTTGAGAGCAGCATTAGCTTGTTAAGTTTGGCGAGCGAAGAGGACGAAGACGTCCAGTTTGACAGTAAGGATCTTTGCTTCTTTTACAAGAGTTTCATTTTTGTCGAATAATTCGTTTACATCGCATTTTTAGATCTACTGGTACAATCAAAATAAAAATAAAAATTTCATTGATGCAGCTTTTCCAGATCTCGCGAGGCTAGCTGCAACACATGAGACATCACTATGGCCTTATTTGATTATATGAATTAATTGAAGATATGTTACATTTAAAATATAATAGTTAATGTTGATATAACAAATGTGTTGTGCAGTTTTCTTAATGCATGTTGTGCAGTTTTCTTAATGCATTATCTTAATTAATTCATATTTTTTGTGGAGTAAATAATCACAACTTTAATATTCAGCTATTACCTTTTTTAAGGTGCAAGCTCTAAAAATCTTCAACTGTTAGGGAAATGATGAACTGTTTTCTGTATATTTTTAAATTAACTTACTATTTCAGAGGTGATAAAAAATAATTAACATAGATATATATTGCTCATAAATGGCATCCACAAAAACAACTTTACAGCATAAATGTTATTCATTATGGTTAATTAGCTATCTATATTAGGAATTTTATAGGCCATATTGACTAATAACTTTTCTTGATTAAAATTGTCAAAGTTGTGCATAATTTTATGTGTGAATAGACTGCCTGTAGTTGAAGCTCATGAAGAACATTATGCTGTTTGTCCTCTTTCTCCCCAGTATTATTAAGCTTAGTTATCCGTATGATTTTTTTTGTCTCATTTCATGACGCACTTTGGGCTTTTTGTTATTCAGTACAGGGTTAGGTAAAGGATTAGAGATTATTATTCCAAACCAACAGTCTGCAGTTGGGTGTAATGTCTACTGTGTAATGAGATTTCCATGGTGATGGCAACAGTACCACTGTATCTTGGCATTTATAAAGTTCAAAACAAGTAAATGTACAGTTATAGCTACTGTTTAATTTAAAACCATCAGCTGTTGTTCAGTTGTGGCTGAAGTACCATTATGAGAACCTCCTTCAGTGATCCAGAAGGATCCTTC